CTAAGTTAGTCAAGTATTTTGAAATCTACAAGTATCTGAACAGCTGGTAGATGAAATTATGGCATGGGTTATCTAGAATGCAAAACTGCTATCACCAAACTCTTAGATCCTTAGGTGTCTGTAAGATGATAACTTAATGAACATGAATCTATATATATACTCTCACATTCTTAAAAGCTTAAGCATATTTGATTGTACTCATGACCTTGTGATAATGGAACGAAGAATCATGAGAAAGAACACATGAGGATTTGACTGTTATTTTACGATTTGCTTCTGTATTGACTCTGATGTTACTAATTTTTGAAGTGCTGTAAGAGAAATGTATGAGAAATCAAAGCAAAATCGCCTCTTGCATGGCCGAGAGGATGAAAACAGCTCAGGTATTGATAACAATGTAAGTTTGGGCTCAGATATCCCCACTTTCGTCTGATTGTTAACCAGTCTAAAAGTTCTGAGTTGCCCCAGAAGGACTCTGCACAAGATATTGGATATATTAGCTCGTACCTCTAAATTTCTTGTGATTTTGGTTTGTGCTTTCTCAGGTGTCTGGTCTACAACTTGATGATGAGTTAAATTCTAAGAAGACAATGTCATTGCCATCATCTCCCCATGCTTACAGGTGTCAAACATTTGGACGAAGAGGGCCTTCAGAATTTGCTGTGAAGGATACATGGAATAAAGTGGTTGAGTCTTCCACATTGCAGAATCAGCCTTTACTACCCTATCAAGAATGGGACATTGACTTCGCAGAGCTGACTGTTGGAACTCGTGTGGGAATTGGTAAGCTGCTCTAAATTTACTACTACCTTTGATATAGAAAATGCTTGTTAAGCAAGTGCAAGTTATTTTTTCACTTGCCAATTAGTGTTAATCACAGATCCCCACAAATTAAAGTTTATGTCATACAGCAAAAGCATAAAACAAAGACAATTGTCTGACCAAAGATAAAAGCCAGTTGATCTTTATGACTAATATACACAGTAAACTTCGCAGGGAGTTATTGTGCCATATCTTTTGAAAAATCTGAAATCTTTTGAGATATCCAATAGGTAATACAGTAAAAGATTACTGTATTCTTGCCATCACACAAGAGTGTTATGTGAAAATATTCTTTTAATCACGGACACATGATCCTTCTGTAACCTAACTATAGATAAATAAGGCATGCGGCTTATTTAGTATACCATGGCCAACATCTTTTGCAAATCCAAGAACATCTTTGTTATGCCGGTCCTCTGTTTGTCCATATTAACTAAATCTCAAAATTTTCATAGAAACACTGTCTTATGTTTTGTATCTAGGGTTTTTTGGTGAAGTTTTTCGCGGAATATGGAATGGAACAGATGTTGCAATCAAACTGTTTCTGGAGCAAGATCTTACTGCCGAAAACATGGAAGATTTCTGCAATGAGATATCAATTCTCAGGTATCTTGTTACCAAATTCTTGGTCATTCTTGGATCAATCCCTGTGTACATCTACTAATGATTTTGCATGTTTGTTCTGGCATCTGCGGTTCTCCCTATAGCCGTGTTCGCCACCCAAATGGTGATTTTCTTTTCCTCATGTCCCCAAGCTTTTACCCTTATCATCGTTATCAAGTAATTTGTGTAGACATGTCGGAGATTATTTTCCTTATTTACCTTTATCAAATAAGTCGTGACTCGTGATCTATGTTTTTGCAGTTGTATTATTTCTGGGCGCATGCACAAAACCACCACGCTTATCCATGATCACGGAATACATGGAGCTGGGATCTTTGTATTATTTGATCCACATGAGTGGGCAAAAGAAAAAACTTAGCTGGCACAGAAGGCTCAGGATGCTAAGAGACATCTGCAGGTACATAGCTTGCTTCAATTGACTTTGCCTTTGATGCTCAATTGCTTACGAAAGTGTGGATCATTGTTCGGGAGTCTCTGAGGATTAACAGAATTTGCATGCTCTACGCATGAACTATGATACATATAACGATGCACCATTGACTACTTGTGGCTTATGTCATTTGTCTTTTATTTATCAGTTTCTTATTAAGTATTATTATATCTTAGTCGAGTGAGCAAACATGAAAGACTTCCACTGAAGAAAGATAGGCTCAGTTGCACTCTTTTACATGAGAAACAGGGATCAAGTCACAGAATTTGTTTTGTTCTGTGAATCGTTGCATATTTCTCTTGATTATATGTTTTAGGCTACATATGCTTATCTCATGCTGTTTTGTATTTCTTATGGGATGCTTAAGGGGTTTGATGTGCATACACCGGATGAAGATAGTTCACCGTGACCTAAAAAGTGCCAACTGTCTAGTGGACAAACATTGGACAGTCAAGATCTGTGATTTTGGGCTCTCAAGAATAATGACTGATGAAAACATGAAGGACACTTCATCTGCTGGCACCCCCGAATGGATGGCTCCAGAACTCATTTGCAACAAGCCTTTTACAGAGAAATGTGATATCTTTAGTCTTGGGGTCATAATGTGGGAACTCTCTACTTTACGTAAACCATGGGAAGGAGTTCCACCTGAGAAGGTATAATATGCTGTGCCATGATTCCTCTTAGTGATGTCTATTCTCTCTCATTCTCCACTTCATTCGGGGTATATGATTTTATTCGTTTGAAATGTGAATTTGGTTACTGAATGAGTTTTGCCTCTTAGGTTGTCTTTGCTGTTGCGCATGAAGGGTCACGTTTGGAGATTCCTGAAGGTCCACTGAGCAAATTAATTGCAGGTTTAATGTTGTTGAAGACCATGTTTCTGAACTTTAATCGAGCTTCTTGTTTTTTCTCTTATGTTTCTCAACTGCTACAGTCTGAGTAAAGTAAACCATATCTTCTCTGCAGATTGTTGGGCAGAGCCTGAAGAACGCCCAAACTGTGAAGAGATACTTAGAGGCTTGCTCGATTGTGAGTACACACTGTGCTAACATCAATTCGTTTTTGGGGATATGAACTGAGAAGATGTTTTGACTCAAAGAAAGCAGCTCAGCATCTTTGGATCTCTGCTCTTAAATTATCAACCTGAGTGGCATAACTTTTAAGATGAGAGAACTTAGAGGATATAAGGAGACGAATTCACAGTTGAGTGTGGATATCTGTAGAACAGGCAGGGGTACCTGATGTAGTAGGACACAAACAAGCATGTCTTTAGGCTGCCTCTGGCGTGATTCATGGTCTCACAGGCAGTGTTCATTTTTGTTGGTTCTTGAAGAGCGTTTTGCTCTATTGTAAGAAAATATATAACACTATATTCTTTGTTTTGAAGAAGAATAAAGAGCTCTTGTATTGTCTCTCCACTCTTTTACCCATCCTCTCTCGTGTCAGCCACTTCTTTCTTCTTTTACTCTCGTGTCAATCAACCGACTTTGTGGACTCATACATACATATACACCATTAAATCTTCATGAAGAAGATGGACATTTTTTTTAGTCATATAACTTTTATATGTATGTAATTGTATTTTTCTTTGGATTATAAAATTATGTCTTGTAATCGTATATTTCTTTGGATTATAAAATTGATGTCTAACAAAGCAGAGAGATCGTATCAAAGTTATAAAAAATGGTTTTGGATTATAAAAATCGGATCCAAAATATATGAGATGGTCGGGTCAATCATCCAGTATCATGTCAGATGAGATTGGTCGGCAAGCACTAGCAGCTCCCAGTTTGCATGTGTCGGACGACGTGAACCCATGTCAAAAAGGAATAGTTTACTATCTAGACCAATAAATTGGAAATTTAATCCTTCATCTTCAAATTATGTTTTTAACAAATAGTAAAACCATTTTATGTCTTTTTCATATTCCAGTTGGAAGATTTTTTTTTTTTTTTTTGTTTGGCTTTTGTTATTTTCCAGGAAAAGAGTTTAGATTTGTCCTTTATTATATGGTTTCAGTCAGAGTAAAGAACAAAAAAGGGTTAGAATAGAATAGAGAGGACACATTAAAATAGACATTAAAGAAAAAAAGGAAATATTGAAATGAAATGAAATCTTAATGGGATCCACGTTAATTTGATTGATAGTTAGTTAATTGCTAATGCACTCATACTTATTAATCATTAGGCCTGATGGGGTGTAATCGCACAGTTTCCTTCTTTGTTTTCTTTATAAGTTTACAGTACTTATTACTCTCTTGGTGTTTAAGATCATACTTATATAGCTTTTTATATGATTGGATCATTTTTCCCCCTTTTACTTGACATAAAGTTATATCAAATCAAATTCAAATAACTTTAGTTTTAAAGTGTGAGTATATTAAACCATGTAACCTACACCAAAATATATATAGTTTACAAAACAAGAACATATGTCCAGTGGTAAGGGAGAATTGAGGAAATGTTGGAAAAAACTAATCTAGATTCGATCTACCCTGAAAACAAAAATCATAGTTATGTGGAAAGTCTGTTAATTGGGCCAAGACCCAGTTGGTTTACCTGGTAGTCAGAAATGCAGGCGGCCTGACTATCCCTGACATTAGTCGAAAAGCATTCCAAACTCGGGATATACAGTGTGGTGGTCCTTCGGGGAGTAGTTCACTCTGAAACACTTCGATGTGTTTCTACGGGCCGGTCAGCCGATAGGGTTAAAAAAAAAAAAGAAAAAAAAAGAAGCCAAGAACAACCTACTCAAAATACTCTTGAGGAAAAAGTAATTATATTTTCTTTTACGTAAGAGGAGAAAGTAATTATATTATCAACTAATATTAGTATGTAAGTATATTATAATATTCGTAATAACAGGGCATTTCTTCTATACAAATGTTTGATTATTGGCATTCTATATAATTGTTTCTGATTACATCATGATAAGCACTTTATATAATAAAGTCCTAAAACAGTTGTTACATAATAATAAACAACCAAAATGATAAGATTTTTTGTTTTATATATTGGATAAAATATAAAGTTCTTAGATACCGTTGACCATTAGTTTAAACTTTAAAGTCCTAAAAAAATAATCATATATTCAAACTTGGCTTCTCCGGTTAAAGTCCTCCTCCTCCTCCTCTGTTTCTCTCGAACTTCTTCTCCTCTCTCTCTCCCTATAAACTTTCTCCTCCGCCGCCGTAACCGCCATTTTCCGCCCTAACTGTTTATGTGCGCTTTCTTGTTCTAGAAGTTATTGACATATGCATCCTTTTTGTTGTGTCTCTACTATCTCCGACCACTCCCCTTCGACACCGTTGCCAGAGCAACCGTCGTTCTCTATGTACGCCGCCACACAGGGAACTCCTTTCGGTTCCGCGAGATCCCAACCGGTTATCACCCGGTCTGCCTCACAACGATATAATAATCCCGGTCAATCTAATCATCATCATCTCCACCACAGTCTCTCTTTTAACCACCAAAACGTCTTTGCCTCCGACCAGCGTGTACTTGCCTTGCCTGCAGCGGCAAGGGAAGCGCCTGTGGATGTCAAGATCAACGATATAGCCGGGAATTCGATATCCGGGATATTGTACAAATGGGTGAACTATGGGAAAGGATGGAGACCAAGATGGTTTGTTTTGCAAGATGGAGTGCTTTCGTATTATAAGATCCATGGACCTGATAAGATTGTTGTTGTCCGTGAGACTGAGAAAGGATCAAGAGTCATCGGAGAAGAGTCCACGCGTATGATCTCCAGAAATAACCGTCAGGCCGCCTCTATCGCCAACCACCAGCTCCGGCGCAAGCCATTTGGTGAAGTCCATCTTAAGGTTAGTTCTATTCTATGATTGGGGACTTAGATGTTAATAGTGCACTTAACATTGAGTTTGATCATCTAGGTTTCATCAATCCGGGAGAGTAGATCAGATGATAAGAGATTTTCAATATTTACTGGTACCAAGAGGCTTCACCTACGTGCGGAGACGAGAGAAGACAGAACAGCTTGGATGGAGGCTTTGCAAGCTGTCAAAGATATGTTTCCAAGAATGTCGAATTGTGAGTTGATGGCACCGACCAACAGCTTAGATATCTCTATAGAGAAGCTTAGGTTGAGATTGGTTGAGGAAGGAGTGAGTGATTCAGCCATTCAAGACTGCGAGCAAATCACAAGGTCTGAGTTCTCAGCAATTCAGAGCCAGCTTTTGCTTCTTAAACAGAAGCAATGGCTTCTCATTGACACACTCAGGCAACTAGAGGTATTTTCTGAAAAACCTTCCAAAACATCACATTACATGTGTCGTCTAAATTAACTCTTCTAAGAAATAGATGTCCTCTATGTCATTGTCTAGACAGAAAAAGTAGATCTCGAGAACACGGTTGTAGATGAGACTCAACGACAAGCTGACAATGGAGACTCAGGTGACTTAAGACACAAGAAGCCTTTTTCTTTACTACAACATCTTTTTTTGTATATTGAGCTGATGTTTACTCTTAATTCCTTCTATCTCGGAAGGAACTATTAGTGAATCCGAAGATGATAATGAACAATTTGATGAGGCTGAGGAGGAAATTGATACATGTGACTCTCTTTCTTCAAGTTCATTCAAAAGTATTGGTTCAGCTTTTCGTACATCATCCTTCTCTTCAGATGATGATGGACTTAATAATGGTTTTGAGTCAGAATATGATGATCTTGATCCTTCCATCAAGTCTATTGGATTAAACTATCCTCATGTCAAACGACGAAAGAAATTACCTGATCCGGTTGAGAAAGAGAAGAGTGTTAGCCTTTGGTCAATGATCAAAGACAACATAGGCAAGGATCTCACAAAAGTTTGTCTTCCTGTTTACTTCAATGAGCCACTATCTTCTCTACAGAAATGCTTTGAGGATTTGGAGTATTCATATCTTCTTGATCAAGCATCTGAATGGGGAAAAAGGGTAATAAGAATCTGCAAATGACTATATTATTTAGATTCTTTTATGGTAGTCTCATGGTTTAGCCAACATCAAATGATATTTTTCAGGGAAATAACCTCATGAGGATTCTGAATGTAGCTGCATTTGCTGTATCTGGTTATGCATCAACTGAAGGAAGAATTTGCAAACCTTTTAATCCAATGTTAGGAGAAACATATGAAGCTGACTATCCCGACAAAGGCCTTCGGTTTTTCTCTGAGAAGGTTTGTTTCTTTTTTATGAATTACACTTATATAAGCTTCACTTGTTAGTTTTGATGAAGATAATAATATACATAACATTCTCTTGTGAATTTTGTTGTTAGGTGAGTCATCATCCTATGATTGTGGCATGCCATTGTGATGGGACTGGATGGAAATTTTGGGGAGATAGCAATTTGAAAAGCAAATTTTGGGGTCGATCGATTCAGCTAGATCCTATTGGTTTGTTGACTTTGAAATTTGATGATGGTGAAACTTTTCAGTGGAGTAAGGTATGAATCTTTTTATAGATAGAAAAAGAACATTTGTGCATGCATGATAAGTTGCTTATCCACTTCTGCTCAAAAATGATATAGGTGACTACATCAATATACAATCTCATACTTGGTAAACTGTATTGTGATCACTATGGAACAATGCGAATCGAAGGCAACGGTGAATACTCATGTAAACTTAAGTTCAAGGAACAGTCGATGATCGATAGGAATCCTCATCAAGTTCAAGGCGTAGTAGAAGACAAAAATGGGAAAACAGTGGCTAAGTTGTTTGGGAAATGGGATGAGAGTATGCACTATGTGATGGTGAATCAAGGAAATGCGAATGAATCTCATCTTCTGTGGAAACGAAACAAAACTTGTGAAAACCCAACAAGGTATAACCTAACACGGTTTGGGATCACGTTGAACGAGCTGACGCCTGGTTTAAAGGAGAAGCTGCCACCAACAGATTCAAGACTTAGACCAGACCAGAGGCATTTGGAGAAAGGAGAGTTTGAAATGGGGAACGCGGAGAAGTTGAGGTTGGAACAGAGACAAAGACAAGCGAGGGAGATGCAAGAGAGAGGTTGGAAACCAAAGTGGTTTAGAAAAGAGAAAGGAAGTGATGAGACTTACAAATACATTGGAGGTTATTGGGAAGCTAGAGATTCTGGTCGTTGGGATGATTGTCCTGACATCTTTGGTCAAGTTCACCAATCCATCAAGTAAACCACACTACACAACTCCATTTATCTTCATCACTAAACATATATGTATTATTTTTTTTTGTTGTTTCTCGTGTTCTTCGTTAATTCTTTATATACCTGTTTTTTCCCACTTCTGCTAAGGAGTTTGTGATGAAAACAACTCATTTCTCCTTTAGAGTTTTCTTGAGATCCCTAAACACTTTTTTTTTTTGATTCTTGTGCATGTGATAGGTGTTACCGTGTTAGTATCGTTGTTGTAAACATATCCCATAGAATGCACTACATCACGTACAACATCAGTATGGTGGAAATAGTAATAACGGGTATGCTAAAATATTACCGTCTGTTACTTCTCGAACCCCCTAAACCCTTTTTCACTCAATAATTCTACCCAAAAAAAAAAATCACTCAATAATGACATTAAGCTAACCCACGTAGAGACTTCACAGTTCTTTTTACTTAACAAGAATCACGCAAATATGAATGGCACATCTCCATGATCTTGTTTTAGTTTTTACGTTAATTAGTAGCTTTTTTTTTTTAATCTGTTAAGAAAATTTGTTTTCCTAGTGTTTATTAAATAGGTTTAAAAATGTAGATGCGAGACACAAACTGATGGAGCGGAAGCTTTTAGGGATAGGATTAGAGATCCGTTATTCTTAGAATACTCGGAAATCTAGGGTTTGAGAGTCTTTATCTCAGGGCTTTTGCAAAAGCTCTTGGTTTGTGAATACTCTTCACACAGTGGTTTATAAAAACTTCCTTAAAATCTCTCGATTTATCAATTCATCAATAACAGAATACAATAGAAGCTCTAAAAAGCTATTTATAATAAAGCATAAAACCATAAAATTGTTATGTTTTATTATAAATAGCCTTTTTAGACCTTTTATTGTATTCAGTTATTGATGAATCGATAAATCCCTATTAAAATCCCTAGAAGCTTCCCCTCCTGATCTTTGATCTTCTTAAAAACTTTCTCCTCTCTCACTTTCGTGCCCCTCCTCTACAGTATTTATACTTACAACCATACCTCTGATGGGCCGTATGCTATGGCCCAAAGACCCTTAACCAGAAATAGAAGAAGAATCTTTTACAAGAAGTTCGTTCCTGTCAGTCTTTATCAACTTCATATTATTATGTCCGTGGCATTAGCTTTATAGACAGAGTAGTGAAAACAAAAGTCATGCAAAATGAAGCAGTTTCTTGGATTCACCTTTATTGTTCAAACGAAAACCAAATCTGGTGGTCCATTTTACGGTTTTTACATGCAGACATGTTTCGTGATTCTACCATTAACATCTCTACATGCATGATTGTTCTATATATAAGCCATACATTACCCTTATACTCTCTTTCTTGTTTCCAAAAGCAGAGTGGTAAACCGAAAGAAATAACTAAAAAGTCTAAAATAATGGAAGCTAGAGTAATTTCTTGCACTACTTCTGGAGACGATAAGGTCTTGAAGATTGCTGTTCCGAATCATCAAGCAGTTGCTAAATACGAAGCAGGAGAAAACGAAACGACCATTGTTGTTTCAGATGATACTTGCTCGGAGAATGATGTCAAAGAGATTAAGAAGTGTTGTGAGAAGCTAGGGTACGTTTACGAAGGCAGACTTAACGAAGAATACACTCAAACCAACACTGGACCTGGTTTGGTCTGAAACTTTCATAATTATAATCAACTTTCTATGTTTTTACTCTCTCTGCATTTGCTTCTTATGTTCTTAGTTATTATATTGCTATGAATAAACTATGAGTTTCTATTATATTAAACACTTCTGTGTACAACTTACATTTCTCACAGCACTGACTTTGACCTTATTAATCACTGACCTCTGTGTCTGGAGAGATTGATTCCGGTTTTTGAGTAGTAATGGAGATAGCTTCTTCTATAGCTTGAAAGAACGTAGCAATTTTGTAAGTAAAGAACCCAACCAACATTGGGATCAACTCCAAATGCATGAATCCATACTCGGGAACAAGTATCCTGCATATGAAGTACCACGTAAATACAATTTGATGTTGTTAAGTTGATCTTGATGAAAGACAAGACATTATAATGCACAAGAGAGAGACACTTACGCGTTCCATCTATTGAATATCATAACCAATGCAACGGGGACTAGTAACCGTGGCTGGTTAGCTGCACCTCTATCCAATCAATTCAGTGAAACCAAAGGAAAAAAGCGATAAATGAGTGAGTGATCTCGATATAGATAACCGAAAGGAATTTTGAATAGAAACAAGTAGAAGTAGTACTTGAAAACTCCTCTGGCTCCATCTGCCATGGCATCTACAGAGTTACCAAGCATCCTCATATATACAAGTGAACCCATCAAGCCAGCACCAAAACTGTAACAGAATTTACAACGATGATCAAATAAATGCAATCAGCAGCTGATTAACAATTCTTGGGAGAGATTCTGATGTTCTTTGCAGGAGAAGACAAACCTAAGTGCTATCTCTGGGGTGTATGAGATGTAAGCTGAGACTAAACCTACACCACCAATACCGACTGTGAGAACCTGTATCTTATTTTTCAGCTGCAGAAAACAATCCAAAAGTCAAGACGGTAGTAGAAATTGAATGCCTCGAAAATATCGGAGTAGCCCATGAAGGTAAAGAGTAATGCTTATACAGGATGCCTTTCATGAGATTACAAACCATTAAACAATTGGGCCCTATATGATATTTTTAATACAGTGAAAGCGTTAGCTAGAAAGGAGGTACCTTGAAGTATTGTTCCCTGTCTTTAGCAGCCTGTACTTCTGGGTCACCGCGTGGCCGCCTCAACTCCCTAAACATCACATCCTGCCGCACAAAATAAAAATTGAAAGAAAGGAATCAAGAACCAAGGTCTATGTTTTTCAATTCTGATCAATGTTTCCAATGAAAAACCGATCATTCAATTGGTCTGGAACTAATCAATTAATGACCATCGATCATTTGCAAAGATAAACTTACACTGCCACCAGTTGCAGCCTTAGTTGCTCTATCCCATTTCTCTTGCTCGCGGCGTGTTGGTGCCAGCTTCCATTTAGGAGACGCACTGGCTTTACTCTAATGATATTGAACAAAGAGTGTAAACCTCAGAGACATCAAACATAAACAATGTATAGCTTAATCAAATTGGCAAATTGATAATAATTAATCTCACCATCTGTTTTTTGGCCTCTAATTTGGAAGTGTCACGACGATCTTTTAGAAAGGATCTAGAAGACGATGCAAGCTCTTTGCTTAAATCAACATCCATACTGATTTCCAAAGATAACAAAAACAACAAAGCAACCATTTTTAATCAAAATGCAAGAAATAAAGTTCAGATTTTTATGAGTTTAAAGAAGAGAACCTGTCAAGACTCATAACTCTGCTAAAGCTCAGAAACCCAGAAGACTCTTCCTGTTGCACATCACAGATAACAAACAACACAAAAAAAGTTAAGTCTCTGATTCACATTATAAGCAATCTCAGAACCCTAAAGAGCTGAATAGAGCTGAATTGAACCTTTGAGGGAGATGGGTCGAGAGAAGAATCATCAGGGTTATCGAACAATTTCTTCATCTGATCCATAAAATCTCTGTTCCAGATCAAGTCAGTGGAAGTAATGGGATCTTCTTTTTCTCCTCCCCAGTACTTGCGGAGCTTGGTGGTAGTCGGAGGACCACCGTACTCTCCGGGAGCAACGCCGGTGGACCATTTCTCAGGCTTCTTATTGGGTAGAATGATTTTGGTTGGTAGACGAGGATTGGGTGATTGATCTTGAGGAATCGGTGGTGTAGTTGACGTCGCTGAGATGTAACTAAGAATCGCCATGGATGAGTTTCTTGTGGAGATTATGCCGATGACGATGACGAAGAATGTAGTCTGAGTTTTACGAAATATCTCAGCTTGTGTGGTAATTTCGCGTTTGCCCAAAAAAGAAACAAATGGTTTTTTTTTTTTTTTTCAACTTGTGATATGTTTTCTAATCCTCACAACAAATATTGAATAGTGCCAAAAAAAGAAAGAGGAGAATTCGGAAAAGTAAAAGAAAATCTTTAAAATAAAAGAAAAGAAAACGTTTTTATTTTGGAAAATAATCTTTAACCTAATTGTTTTATGTTTGTTAAAATTGAATCCTTAAAGCAAAGGCTCTTGTCCAAAAAAAAAAATAAAGCAAAGGCTCAAACATTGTTGGTGTATGTTTTGAGAGAAAGGTGTTTAGGAGACAAATCAATACACATATAAAGAGCCCAAGGATTCATCAAGAGTTCAGATAATGACGGAAGAAGACATGATTAGCAGATTACCTGATGATTTGCTCATGGAGATATTGTTGCTTCTCGAGACAAAAGAAGCAGTATGTACCATGATTTTGTCGAAACGATGGCGGTCTCTTCGGAAGGTGGTATCGCAAGTCATGTATCCACAGCTCATGTATGTGAAGTTGAAGTTACTTCTGAGGGTTGAACCAACGGTACGTACGTAGTAACATTATTTGTCATTATATGTCACACACACACAAAAAGAAGAAGTTATTGTTATGTGATTCTCAAAGTTCCCAACGCTTTGTTATATATATGTTCATCGCAGCTGGCCGGTTTGTGGACTTATGATAAACCCATTAATTTCTCCAAGCTTGAAGCGTATAAAATTCGTGCACCATATAAAGTAGATTGGTTGCAACCATTTATGTGGTTTCTTCAAAAATCTCCTAAACTAAAAGCTCTTGTCATCGCCGACGATGTTCGTTAATCATATCGTTACCCTATGAATTTCTTTTTTTTTGATGGACTAATAAACATCTAAACTGAACTAACATATTATCTTTTGATGTTGCTTTGACAAGACAAACTCGGATTTCCCACTTTCATTCAACCCACCAGTTTGTTTCTATTCCAGAATGTTTGTCAACCAATCTTGAGATCTTAGAGTGGCATGGATATGGAGGACGAAAGGCAGAGAAAGATATTGTGAAATACATATTTGCCAGCTCTAAGTGTTTAAAAAGAGCTTACATCTCCATTGAAACGCGTGGTCGTCGTAAAGGTAAACAGAAGAACAAGATGATGGGAGAGTTTATGCTTAGTGATTTACCATCATCTCAGCTTCTCTTCTCCACTTAATCCTTTATACCTCAACATAGCACTCTTTCCAAATATTGCTATATTTTGGAATAAGAAACAAATAAGGATTCTTAACTTACAAAATGAAAGGCTAAAGAGATATATCAAGCTCGAACCCTGAATACTTTAGTAGTTGTTATTAGCTTCATAGAGAAGAAACAAATGCATGTTGATTTTATTCGTCTTTAAACTATATCTTTATGCATAGTTTAAGAAATAAACTCTCTGTTTTCATTAGCTTAAAACGTGGATTTAAGTTTTTCTTTTTATTTAAATGTTATGATACACAAGACTTCTACAAATGTTGTTATGTGTTGTGTTTTAAGTGTTTTTGTATCATAAACCTAAAAGATAATTATACTCTTATAAGATTGTCGTTCAATCAAGAAAAAACATAGATTAATATATATATATATATATATATATATATATATATATATATATATATATATATATATATATATATATGTAATATGTTTTAGCTTTTAAGTTTTAACATATATAAAGTTATGATTAAATAAAGCCATTAAAAAAAACTTTATCAGGAAGTTAGGATTCTCAATTCAAGTATATACGTTAGACAAAAAAGAAAAGGAAAATCAAAAGAAAACATGATGCGCAAAAAAGAAAAAAAAAACAAATCAATATAAGAAAAACATCACTAGGAATTATCAAAATATAACATATATATTTGTTAAGAAAAACATATAAAAACCATCAAATTCCTAAAGAGAAAAGGAATCGAGACCTGGGGTCTCTATATATATACAACATAGTGCTCTCTCAACTTCTCATCAACACAAACTCAAAACTTCATAAGACCTCATACAAAAGTTGTTTTCATTCTTTTGCTGCTGAGTTAATCCTCTAGTCTCTAAACACAACTGATCATGGCTTCGATCAAAAGAGTCTTCTTTACTTCTTTGCTGATTCTTGTAGCTCTTTGTGGAGTTGCCATTGGAGGAACCGTTCACAAAGTCGGTGACTCCAACGGATGGACTATGATGGGAGTCGATTACGAGGCTTGGGCATCTTCAAGAACTTTTCAAGTTGGAGACTCTTTGGTCTTCAACTACAACAAAGATTTCCACGACGTCACTGAAGTTACCCACAATGATTTCAACTTATGTGATCCTTCTAAACCGATAACGAGGTACGAGACCGGGTCTGATACCGTCACTTTAACCAAACCGGGACTCCAACACTTCATATGTGGATTTCCTAGTCATTGTGACTTGGGGCAGAAGCTTCAAATCCATGTCTTACCTGCCTCGTTAGGACCCGTCGCTGCTCCAGTTCCTAAACCGGTCCGATCACCAAGCTCTTCTTCTTCTCCTTCACCGTTGGCCAACTCACCGGCTACTAGTGCTCCACAGTATCAGATGGGACCGTCACCAGCTCCACTTAGCGCAGCTTCAAAGTCTAGTGCTTGGATTGGACTCTGCTTCCTTCCTTTACTTTCTCTTTTCATCTAAGTTTGATAGTTTGACATATGTTTTGTCTTTTGGTTTTACATGTTACTTTTATCGGATTCGTACGTTTTAGACTTTGATCGAGCTATCTTGTGTTTTTACTCGACTGGTTTTGTTTACTTCAACATAAATCACAGAACATGCCACACATTGCAAAAATTACAAACTTCTTTATACTATAGTTAAATCGAAGTCCTTGTCCATGTTAAGACATGTGGAAAGTGGTTCTTGTTTGTAATTTGTCAACTTACTTAACTTTTCTATCATATGTATGTTAACTAACTAATTAACCCCATTGACACCACCTAAGATTCATTCTAATTCCAAATTGGATTAGAGGTTATTTTACACGTAGATATATTACTTTATCAATAATAGTTATAAGATGATAAATTTCAAATATTTGATGCATAATATAAAATCTGATATATTAACAAACGCATGTTGCAATTTTGTTAATTATCATTCTACCACGTTTTCAAGGCTTAGTTTCATACATATCCACACTAAACTAAAAAAAAAAAAAATCACATTAACTTAAATAAATCCTTACACCAAAATATAATTTTACTTTTCTTGGTAATGTTCGATTGTCAGCTACGAAAATAAATATTTTTTTTGTTAATTTTTTAATTGAAATTAATAATATTTTACAGTTTAAACGTATTTGGATTACACCCATATGAATAGGTGTAGATTAAAAGTAGGAAAATTTCTATTATATAATTAATAAAATAAATTTTGAGCACATATTTTTGTGCCATTGACAAATATTAAAAATAATTATTAAAAATCACAACTGCCTTGTAGATTAATTGAAATAAATCTTAATTTTCTTAGATCATGTCTATATTTTTTAAATTACATTTTCTTCCTTAAACCTTGTAACCAAACAGAATATATATATATATATATATATATATATATATATTCAGTTATTAATAAAAGAGAAATTATTTTTTTATATTAAAAGATGTTGTTTTTTCAGTACTATATAATGCGTAAAGTTTGATTATATATCTACTTAAAAAAAAAATATATCATGTTATTCATCATTACCAAATTTCAACCGTATATTTATTTACTATTTACAAATAGTTTTAATATTGTGCATCAAGACATCCTCTAGCTAGCTCGAAAAATAAAAATATCGGACGGCCAGTATCTTATAATTAAAGTCGGAGCAAGAGAGGCGTGAACAAATCAAAACACTATTTATTAAATTTACAATCCTATAAGAAAAAGGCTTATGTGAAGCCTCTCTATCTAGTATCTCTCTCTATACATATCTTAACAGTTTCCTCACAATAGAAAACTTTTTTTCATTGTTTGACTAGGTCTCGATCAAGGTAAGAATAAAGCATCAGTCATGAAGAACACAATCATGGGTTTGTTACTTTTGGCATTGTCACTAATTGGATTAGTTGGTGCTGCTCCATCGTATTACGAGGTTGGAGACTCCGACGGATGGACAACAACGGTGGGAGCTGACTATTACAAGAGCTGGTCTTCTTCAAAGACTTTCTGTGTCGGAGATTCACTCATCTTTCAATACAACAAGACTCTCCATAATGTGATGGAAGTGAGTTCCCAAGATTTCGAGTCGTGCAACCCTAATTTCCCTTTGAACACATACCAATCCCAGTATGAACCTGTTGTCCTTAACCGAACCGGTCACTTCTATTTCATATGTGGTGTGCCTGGTCATTGCGAATCTGGTCAAAAGCTTGACGTCCTAGTCATGTCTGCGGATACTCCCATTAATCAACCAAACAACGCATCTTCGTCTTGTTCTAAACCTAATCCACCTCCTCAGCCTACAGAGGATCCTCTTCAGGTTCTTCCAGTAGATGATGAAACGATCGCAACACTTCCTTACAATGCAGCCTCAAGTCCTTGTGTGTGGACTGGCTTAAGCATGCTCTCCTTCGTTCTCCTAATAACCCTAGTATCTGTTTGAGGACGTACTGTATCTTTTTATTTTTATTTTTTTCAAGTATCATGTTGGCTTTTTAGGATTAATTACTATGAGATTTATAAGATGTTTTTTTTTTTCTTTCTATTGCTTGATAAATGTTTACTAGTGTTTAATTTTGTTTCCTCTTCAAAGATTGTTTTTCTCCCTATTCATATTGATGTATCGTGTTTGCTAATTGTCATACACAATTTTTTATGTTCCAATACTCGAACTAAACTGAAGATAAATGGAGACGCATGACACTTGCACATTTGAATACAACTTAAGACCTGTAGGTCGTGAAATAGCCCAAGGCCACCCACAAAACAAAACTTTCTTTATAACGATAAATCCGGTGGTCCACAATGATAATACAGCATCGGGGTCGATCTATCTTCTTATTGTTTTTCAATAGAAGAATCCATCTTCTTGTGTATAAGTTACGATTCTATATAATATGAATGTTTCTCGTACATATTCAATAACTTTCTTTTTCTACGATTGTGACAAGAAGAACTAAACCAGCTTTAGTAAAAATTGAACCGAAGAATCAAGTGTGGAAGAAGACTCTACTCTTTGGCTCGTTTGCTCAGGGATTTACGCTTGTTAACATCTAGACATCTTTTCCTCAACCGAATCGTCTTTGGTGTAACCTGACCATATTAAACCAACAACAGTAAATGCATAGGAAGCCGAAAAGAAAAAATTACTCATGGATCATATGATTAGCTAGATTTTGAACAATGTACCTCAATAAGTTCATCTGAGGCAACGTATCCTATGGCTTCCTCGAGTGTCATCTGAATCGAAAAGAATTAAAAAAAAATCAAGAAACAGTTTTCTCATGTCTTTCTATATTGTTGAGAAGAGAAAAGGGCACATACAAGGCGAGGTGGAGATAACTTCACATTTTCATCTTTCCCGGCAGAGCGAATGTTTGTAAGTTCTTTGGCCCTAACTGGGTTAACCTGTAGTGCAAGGGCAAGTGAGCTCATGGCATTTAGACAATTCAGTATGAAGAGGAGAAAGTCGAACCAACTTACATCAAGATCTGTATCTCGTGAATGCTCACCGATAATCATACCATCATATGACTGTTAAAGACAAAAAAAAAAAAAAAAACAGAAGAAGATGCAGCATTAGCTTGGATCAAACGCAGAAAGATCACATAACATGTTCTAATCAAGAATAGCTAACCGAGAAAGAAAGAAAAAAACAGAAATATAAGTTTCTAGGTCATATTTAGATGGTTCTCACATCCAGCCCTGGACCAACAAAGAGAATTCCACGAGCTTCTAAACTCATTAGTGAATGAGCTGTGATAGTACCAAATCCCATGGAAACCTGTTTCAATCAAGATAAATAAATTACAATTAAACTGAGAGTGCACACAAAATTTTACTAAGAAAAAAATTTAAGCAAAAAGGATCTCTTATTGAAAATAAGTGCAACAAGCCATAGACATACCAATACTCCTTTCCTGACATTTCCAAGTGGGCCTCGGTACTTTTCATAAGCTGCACGAATGTGATACACAAACATTTATCAATTGAAGAAGAAAGTAATGAAAGTTTGGATATCTAAGATGCTTCTAACAATCAGACAGATATTGTCATGGAAAACAGTAGCTATATGTTTGCATCTATGATAAATCCTATTGACACAGAAAAACAACAATATCTGAAGCTGAAACCGTGTTTAGCAAATATATGCAAGAAATATTGTTGACCTAGATCATTGCTCTAGAAGAGTCAACTGAATTGATGCTTAAGAAAGACGAAACACTGGGAAAAGAGAGGGACAAATAGGGGACTGGAGTTGCAGAAAATGCAAGTAGAAAAGTTGCATACTTAGGAAAGCACGATGCATGAATCCAGTTCCACGGGTGTCGCTGCTAAACACACATCTGTACCCAACCAAACCTCTGCAGAAACACAAGTATATGTTGGTTATATATCTTTAAGGGGAATGATTGAATGAGCAGCGTGTAAAACTTTATGAAAGTACTTCAAAAATAGTAAGCTAACCTTGAAGGACAGGTTAGTGACAGTCTCGTCCTACCATCATTCCCAGGGACAGGTCCCATGTCAATAACTTCCGCTCGCCTGTGGGAGAGAGCTTCCATCACTAATCCTACGTGCTCTTCATTAATTTCAATAGTCACCTCTTCAATTGGTTCAAGCCTTTGTCCCTTTTCAGTTTTATACCTGAATCATAAAGGAAAAACGCTCAGAAGTCAGAAGCAAATATACACCAATGTTTGTAGAAATAAAGACATTAAAAAGGAGCTTTTCTAGGCTAAAAAGTAATTCCTAGTAGATCAAAAATAGACCAACTAATGTATAACTGTAGTAGTATCAGAAGAGTAATCAGGTAACTTGGTAAAAAATAAGAGAATTCTTCAATTGGTTTATGAAATAAATTGGCAAGACCCTTTTCTTCAAAAGCCCACAAAAGAACAATATTAGTATTATCTTAATTAAGGGTAACATGAGAGTAACAAGTTAACCCTTCCACAATACCACCATATAATAACCTCTACAACTAACTCCTTTTATATAACAAATTACTTCTGTAAAACAAACAATGAGATGAGACTAACATGACTTTAGGTGGTGAGACTGAGAGCTCAAAACCTTCCCGCCTCATATTCTCAATCAAGATACCTGTTAGACACGATAGAGATTAATTTACCTGGCATAGAGAAATAGACACAGTTACATGTTTTCTGGCGTATTTTATGTTATATCCATCTCTACAGGTGAAGAAACACTGAATACAAACTGGAAAAGTACAAACCAAGTTGAAGTTCTCCTCTTCCTTGGACTTCATATGACTCTGACAAGCCTGGAATAACGTTTATGGCAAGATTTGTTTCAGCTTCGGCCAATAACCGGTCCCCAATTCTCCCTCCAGTTAACTGCATGCAGATTAGCAAAAGCCTATTAACATGTGACAGATCGAGTGATCTACCACCTAAAACAAAATATTTCTTTAAATGTCGATAAAGGGGACAAATTTACTCTAATGGCAGCAACATAGAGGTGAAACATGGAAAAGGAATGCAATGACCCAAAGATAAATCTGAGGTAGTAAAAGTTTAAAGCAGCGAAGATTAGAGCGACATCTTGTCACTATAATTTAACGTACGTGGGTGCCATCCCGACCAGCCAGCGGAGAGTCATTGACACCAAACGTCATAGAAATAGTTGGTGGATCCAGCTCAACAGTAGGGAGTGCAGTTGTGACCTGAAAGACAAATAAAAAAAGAAGTATTTATTCAAGCTTCTTAGTATTCAAATAGGGATCAATGGAAATTGAGAACTTATGTTAAAAGCAGAAATCAATTACTTTCTAAGAATTAAAAAAGGAAATAGTTCATTTGGATATTACCTCTGCACTAGCCACCGTGTGACCTATAGATGGAGCGGTCAAACCAGCCATACAGATAATATCACCAGCCCCTGCAGCGTCAATTGAAACTATGGTTGTACCTTTCTTTTTCATTAGCTTCACAACCTATGAGAAAAATGTTTGTATCTGCTTAGATGAGAATGTCACACTTTGCAAAGACGGCTGACCTAGTATAAAGCAATATATACACGAACCTTTGCTTCTTCTATTTTCTCAGTTCCAGAATCAGTTTTGCGTAGTCCATTGACTTTGTCGCCAACACGGACAACTCCAGAAGTTACTCTTCCAGTTAATATTCGTCCGAGATAGAAGTCCTTCTCCATCATTGAGACCTGGAAGCCAGAAGCAAAACGTTAGTTAAATATCATCACCAGGGTTTAAGCATTTCACACATTTTTGCGATCAAAACTAATAGTTACATACATATGAATCTCAGGCACAATTATACATACCAAGAATACATTCAAACCAGGAAAGCTGAAGGTCATAAACTGAATATTATCTCATGAAGTGTCCAACCAATGTCTTCCTTTCCCAACAAAATTAGTTTGACAAATTTACTTCTAGCTTTCTTGAGATTTGCTGACGATATAGTTGCATATAACTACGTAAGATGCTTCTAAACTCACACAACAAGTCTACTTACTTTAACAAACATTCAGAGTTCAACAGGAATATATTTGAAGTCTAATGTGGAACTGTGTTAGTCTATCTCGGCCAAAATTAAAAAGCACAATTCAAAGATTTAGCTACTTGATATTGCACAATCAGAAAAGTAAAAGAAGTTACATGCACAATACTGGCCAAGTAAGTTAAGAAATTTATTAGCCGTATTTCTATATTACCAGCATCAGAAATGGCTCTTCAAGGTTTGCTTTTGGTGGCTGGACATGTCTTACTACGGCATCAAGCAACTGTGACATATTCTTAGCATCTACAGGAGGTTCTTTGGTATAGGTAGAAGATGCCCACCCTTCTTTAGCGGAGGCATAAAGCACTGGAAACTCTAGTTGTTCCTCTAAATAATGAAGAAAACAGCTACGTTGATTTCATGACGATTTGTAAAGTAATTAGAATACATATATTATACTTTGATAATTTTAATTACCTGTAGCACCAAGATTCGCAAAAAGATCAAACACCAAACTCTCCACTTCATCACACCTCTCTTCTGTGACTGTCAACGGAAAACGATAGAGATAGCATTTAAATAAAACGAAACAAAATACAAATGAGATCAACAAGTTTTATTAAGAAAGAGAGTGAATGCAATGCAGCATACCTGAAGGTCGATCTACTTTGTTTAAGAGAAGAATAGGTCGTAGCCCATACTTCAAGGCCTTGGCAAGAACAAACTTAGTCTGTGCAAGAGGGCCTTCTCCAGCATCAACAACTAATATAGCTCCTTCAACCATACCAACAACTCGTTCAACCTAAATTCAAATGCAAAAATTAGTCACAAACGTATCACATATGTTCCCTAGTAAGGAAATGTCCTAAATGCTGAAATGTTAGAAATTGTCACCAAAACATGAGTAGGTATTGGAAACTTCTAATTTACTAATATCATGTCCACTTAGCACAAATAAGCGAGTAACTTTAATCCCAGGTGTCTAAGAAGAACGCCTAAACTCTCCAAAAATTATCAATCATTGTGATATGCAACTCTACTGGAATCAAGCATACGAATTTAAAATTACGGTAAAAGTATCCATTTTATGAAGGATGAGTCTCATACCTCACCACCAAAATCAGCGTGACCAGGTGTGTCAACCATGTTAAGTTCGTTGTCCTTCCAAAATACGGATGTCACCTGTCGGAAATTTAGACGAACTTCAAATTCAGTGCTACGTGGTAATAATAAACAAGGATCTCAGGGAATCAATATTCAGACAGAACAGAACCAAAGAAAAAAAGACAAAACGCCTTATGCTTCTCAGAATCTCACTGAGAATTCAAATTTAAAACTTCAGAAACGCAATGATCTAAGAACACATTCTGAACTAAAATAACATATCTACAGAACTATTTCATCGGACAGGACCTAATAGTTAAAGATTACCACTCTAGACAGACCCATTTCATGGGACAGGGCATAATAGTTAAAAATTATCACTCTACACAGAACCATTTTCAAATTGTAAAGTAACAATTAGCTCTAATTCCAATCCAAAAAGACGAAATGCAATACCTTTGAAGAAATGGTGATCCCTCGCTCACGCTCGAGGTTAATAGAATCCATAGCACGCTCGTGAGGGATATCAGCACCACACTGACGAAGAAGCCGGTCCATAAGCGTTGTCTTGCCGTGATCGACATGAGCTATAACAGCTACGTTCCTGAGCCGATTAGGATCGAGCGAGCTACTCGGAGCTCCGGCTGCAGCCGAGGAAGCGGTGGCTGCCGAGAAGGAGCGAAAGGAGGAAAGTGAGTATCCGAATTTGGAAGGAGAAGAGAAAGATCTTCGAGTGGTGTTTGACCAAAGAGATCGAAGCAGAGGCCCTGCCATCTCTGTTCACGCGAAATGGTCTCTGATAGGGTTTTAGATCTAAAATCTCTGGCGACGATGGCCAAAGGGTTTTTGGTCAAACTGTTTGGTATTTATTTTATCGTTATTTACAAAGTAGGATACGAACTCTCTTAAAATTATAAAGTAGCCAAAGCCTTTTTTAATGTTGAATTAGAACCTCTCATATTTTCGTAATTGTAAGATTTGGTTTTTGTATCTAAACTACAAAAGTGATTCTGAGAAAATTGATTTCATTTCTAAGATAAAACTGGAAATCTGACTTAACTATATATGTGATATAATGGTTTGTGGTCATTTGGATGAGGAGATTTAAATATTGTTTTATGTATAATTTCAGGACAAAAAGAGTTTCTACTATAGATAATTTGTAAATTTCATAGTTTTTTCGATAGTTGTTTTAGAATCATAATATGGTAAAATCTCTTTTCGATGTTAGCTGTTAAAAACTCATATTATGAAATAATCATATCTTTCCGATGTTTGTTTTATTGGTTCCAAATCATTTTTTTATAGTTTTTGAATCATCTCTTTAATATTTTGGAAGTACATTTTTGAGTATAATCTCAAAATGTGTAAACAGTTACATCAAAATTTCATTACAAATATAGTTTCAAAAAATAAACCAATAATAGTCATTAATGATCTAGTGCAAAGTGTAATGATCTAGTGCAGGGGTAATGATCTAGTGCTTATATTATGCAAAAAATATTAAGTTTTCCTCTTAATTAGCACTCTATTGTGATAGCACTTTAGCTCTTTATATTGCTCAGGATCCTATTTTCATGGAATAAAGAAAATAACTAAAAACAAAGATATATGTATATTCAATTACAATTTTATGAATCTTCAAGTACGTTTTCAGCATCAACAAGTTTCTTTAAGAAGCGTCTGCGACATCTATGAAACTCCATATTGAAAGGTGTTATATTTTTATTGTACTTGTTTGTTTTACCGCATATTTGTTGGTTCCACTATACTATATAATATATCTATATATATAAAAACCAAAATCAATGAAACTGAGACCACTATTTACATTTTCCTAAAAGAAGTTAACCATGCTTTGCAAAATTATATTCTGTTTAGGTATATTCTTCTAAAAATCATCCATCACATTCACATAACTCTTGATTGTAAGTTGTAATCCTTTTTGTTGACCTCTTCCAATATTTCCGTGATCAAAAGGCCAAGGTAGTAGTCATTCTCACATCAGATGACTTTTAAATTTTCGAAATTGTATGCAAACTTTTAAAAATACGAAGATTCTTACCTTTTAACGTCTTGTATAGAAATGATGATCATCGTTGAGAAAAAAAAGAAGTAATGATCATCATATGACGACAAAGTACAAATCCCTTTAACCTACATGATCTTATCATATAATTTCACAAATGCCAAAATAGTGAGAAATGTCAATCTCTATACCACCTATCTATATGACTACAAATAATGATTCCAATGATGATTTATAGAAAAATCTTCTTTCATCAAACCCATTATAAGACCAAGTAAAGTAGACTAACATATCGAGGATCCTTTGGTATCACTGTCACAAAGCATTGAATACTCAATAGCAACTTTTTGCATAAAAATCCCAAGTTTGTAATAATGTTGACTTTTCTATTTAATATAGTAGTTCCCAACTTTTTTAGTAGCTAATAGCTAAAGAGTACTCAGAACTCAGAAGGCTATGTTAAAAAGAAAAGTTAATGTCTGTATAACAGTTGATAATGTCTGTATAACAGTTGATAATGAGCACATCTTCTTCATTACTACTCATTAATACGACCTAAGCTTTCAACGTCCTTCAATTACTCTTTTACTTAACCGAAGATAAATATAAAAACGGCAACCAAGAAAACTATGAAAATCAAAAACTCACTCGTAGAACAAAAATGAGATTACAATTTATCCCACTGCTAGCCTAAGGCCATATTAAAGCCAAAATTACACATAGGACTCATCTAGTTCGGCAATATCGTAATCTTGATGATCAATGTAGAGATCATATATAAAAGCAAACAAGCAAAATTTGCATAACTAGTAACAATAATAACACCAAAAAGAGTAATAATAGTGTCTTGAATCATAAATATATGGATAGATGCTAGTAACAATAATTAATATATATAAGCGTACTCTCCTTTCATCAATTAATTCCTCCTTTTTTTGTTCAATGTCATGATGAATCAAAACCTCCATTGTTGCTGTCTGAAAGAAAAATACATGTGGATTAGTTATGAAAGATTTTAACAGGTCTAATTATTGTGTGGTTTCTTTGGTTAACGTAATGTAATGAATTTTGTAGATACGCTAATTAAAAAGAAGAAGCAAACCTGTCTTTAGAGTTTAGAGGTGTGAGTTTTGAGGAGGAGAAGAAGAGTTTGGTTGAGTAGCTTCTTCTCCATGGAGTAGTCTTGTAGTGTTGGGGAAACTAAGGCCTTGCATCATCATCATCCCATGAGAACCAAACTGAGAAGCAAACATCACCGGAGAAGCTTGGTTCTGATGATGATGGTGGTGTTGATCTGACGTGGTTTGATGATCCCAAGAACGAAACGAGTGAGGGAATAAACTGGACTGAAGGGTACCCCTTTGTTGTTGTTGTTGTTGTTGGCCACCAAGAAACACTTGTTGCTGTTGACTATTAAGCAATGTCATCATCGACGGTTGATGTTGATGATGATGATGATGATTCACCATGAAACCACCGTTACTCCTTTCTTCTTCGTGTTGTTCCGATGAGGAGGATGACGTCATTGTCAAGTCGTGATGATTCCATCCAGAGATTCTCCCGAATGTATCGAAATGAGTCGTGGTGAAACTGTTGGTCTCCGGTACTACTACTGCGTTGTTGTTTCCTTGAAACGGGTGAAGAGAGAGACCAAGATCTTGGCTCAGGTTCTGTGGTGTTGTTGTTGTCGTTCTTGAGACTATGTTGTCGTCATCGTGGTGAGGGTAGTTTTGGAAGTTCATGTTTGTACCACCGCCGCCGCCGCTTGTTGTCGTCGTCGCCGGGAAGAACGTTTTCATTGCGTCTTCAGAATCAAGATTGGCCGACACGAACTGCGTTTGGTCATTGTTGTCTCTTTGGAAAACCAAATTGGGAGACCCCGGTTTGGTATTCACCGGTTCTTGACGAGTAGTAGTGGTAGTAGTCTCAGCGATTTCGAGTTTGTCGATGGCGGTTTTGGCTTTCTTGATGAGCCAATCAACGGCTTTGCTAGGCCGGTCATAACCTAACCGGTCTTGAACATCGTAGAACTGAATCGCCGTGTGAGCTGAGAGTCTCACGCGCCGGTCACGTGGACCTTTCGATGTGAAAACTTTGCTATGACGGTCTTTACGGCCAGTGGCTCGGATGATGTGGCCGCCTTGAACCTCAACTATCTCACCTCCTCCTTCTCCGACGCTATATCCCTTAAGTCCCATTTTTTCTTTTTCTTTTTTTTTTTGTTACCTCTCAAAATGACATTAATCCAAGTGTTGTTTTCTTTTTAACTAACTTGGAATAAAGACTTGCGTGCCGTTTTTGTTTGGCTCTTGCAAAGTGCTTGCCGTTTTCGTTGTTGCTGTGTTTGGTGCGTAGTGAGTTAATAACATCTGATGCAGGCTGGCCACAGCTACCTGAAAGCTGCTACAAGAAGCAACTAATCTATGCAGATCCCAAAAAGATCTGTCATGGCAGTCACAAGATTCAATGACCCAACATATATACCTAAAATATATTTAAAAAATGAAGAGAAAAGAGATTGGAATCTCTGGTCTAGGGTTTTTCCAAAGAGATGAAAATTTTGGACAACAGAAAAAAAAAAAAAGATAAGAGAGAAAGAGAGAGAGAGAGAGAGAGAGACTTTGTTGATATATGTTTAGTTGGTCTAAAAATCAAAGGACACAAAGAAGAAGAAGAAGAGAGAGTATGTAATATTGTTGTGTTGTTGGTGGAAAGGATAGCAGAAGTTAAGGGTTCAGAATAGGAAAGTAAACTAAATAAAAATACCCTTTTGCTTTCAACCTTTTGTTCCTTATTTATAAGATTCCTATTTTCACATCTCAACATGTGTCGTCGTCGTCCTTCTTTAACTTCTTAGCCACATATTTCAATTTTATTTGTTACACAAAAAAAGGTTCATCAATCATTATTCTTCAATCATGCGTGACATATCAAATTCTTGCAACATACATAACCATCATGTGATTCAGAAGATATAATCTAAACTTTGAAAAATAATATATATATTTTTCACAGACAAAATATACACACATATGTTTTGGTTTGGTCGGTTAAGCGTTACATGCTAATCAGAGTCGGCAATGGAATGGTATGACTCTTCTAGTTTGATTGATGTTGAGTCCCATTTTTTTTTATTGTTTGTTTCGTTAAGGTCACGTTTATTTTTTCTATGAATACGTAGAGAGAGAGAGAGAGAGAAGAGTATGTGTTTGGTTCATGTGGATAACTATGATTAAAGGACTAATGTTGAATGAGATTCGAATTACGAGGAGCATAAAGTGTTAGGGAACTTATGATTAAGGTCATTGTCTGAGAAATCTATCTTTCATTTTAATTACAATTCTACCACATATAAAGAAGACGACGAAATAAATATTTATTTTTAGAAAAAACATTATATCCCCTATTACATTATTTAAGCCGTTGATAATGATACACAACAGCTTTTTCTCGTTCCACTAAAAAGAGAGGGCAATGAAATAGACTTGCGTTTCAGACTCTCTTTTTTTTTTTCTTCTTACCACAACCATACGTTATACATTTTGAATATTAGTTTGGAGTTTTGGAATAATGTCTAGATATTTTTGTGCATATTCGTTGGTTTGATATATATATACATATAGTCATATAGATATAATAATAATAATAATTTTTGCTGTTTCCATGAAATTACTGAAAAAGAAAATTAATTCATACTAATATTGTTACATATTTTTGTTTTAAGATAGTGTTGTATATAGATAATTCATGTTTCATAATATTATTATACACTTGATCTACAGATTAATTGGGTGTTTGGTTTGTGTTTATCACAGATAATTACAATATAATTAGAGGAAAAAAACAGAAATTAAAGCAAAAAATGTGACATGCATGTCGTCAACTTGAAGACTCCCAAAAGTTAAAGAAAAATGAAATGCAGGATTGTTTTAGTTTAATGTCTTGAGAAAAAGCATACGCGCATGCAAATCTGCCTTCATCCCAAAAGATTCCACATTAGACTTCTTCCAAGTCGTGAAACTTAAGTTAACCCTACACCCTCTATATCTTATCCATATATCATATCCACTTTTTCTATAAATATCACACTCCAATTTTAATTCATACCTTTACTTCTAAGACTTTTGCTTAACTATTATTGATCTTGTCATCTTGGTCTATGAAGAAAGCTTTGGCGATCGAATTGGTTCTATCTAAATAAAGAGAGCCTCTCATAGATTATTTCGCGTTTGAGCTAGACTGTGAGAAGGACGGTGACTCTCACATGTTTTTTATAAAGCTCTTTGGCATCATTGTAACATAATGTTAAGCCTATTTAGGTCTATAAAAGAAATACCCTTGCATTTTTTACAAAGGCTTCAAAGTCTTAATCATGAATTTTATTAAATGGTTCTTACATAAATATATATATTTATTTAAAGGATTGCATTAACTGAAAACTGATAATTTGAGTCCTTTTGCCAACTGCAAAGTAGGCTATATATGTCTATTTAGAAAGAACGACGAAGAGTCGAAATAATTTAATACAAATGTATGATAATAAATTAAAAGTGTTGGGCATCAGGGAACCTAACTGAATAATTGCTACCAATTAGGCTCCTTAGCTTTTTCATCTCTCGCATTAACCTTTCTCGTAGACTTACCTCACTTGTTGATAATTTTGTGAGTAATAATTTGTATGGCAAAAAAACAAGAAAGGTTGAATCGCATATATACAATAATACTGTACAACTGTTTTTTTAAAAGATACCTATCTCAAAGATGTAAAAAAGTAATTGAAATCTAGCTCAACCTTTTTCTAGCTACATGATAACAGCGTTCAAAAGTATATGAACCAAAGACTCTCTGATACTTAGCATATAATTAAGACTCAAATGTATGTAAATATATGAATATCACGAGGATTTATAGCTAATATAGTAGGACAACATATCTAAGTTTTGTCATTCATTAGTTTCTCTTACGGTAGCTCATAACTTAATTTAAGTAGTCCATATAAATCGATCCTTTTGGACCATATAAAATAGACCGTACAGGAGAGATTAGAACTCTCATAGTCACAGAACGCAGCATATTTAATATTCTAGTCAATAAAACCATGCCAAGAAAAAGATTTTATAGTTGCATGGATTGAATAAGGGTAGATTGACTCGCATTGATACCCCAGATAACATTCGTAAACTTTGTATATGGGAGACTTTAACAGAATAATAAAACTTCTCCTATATGGAGAAGTTCATGTTCCATTTTGGTAACGTATATATTGTTATCGAACCTACATTTTGTGCGTAATATAAAATGTAAAGCCAAGATGTTACCAATGTTCGGAGTATGAAAAGCCAAAACCTTCGAAATGTTGATTTTTCAGGCTTAAAATAAGTGTATAAGATTTTGTAACTAATAAGTAACATTTAGTTACTTTAAACAAATTGAACATCAATTCATAGTTAGCAAACTTTTTTTCTTATGGCTATATCTTATATGAATTAATTTACTAGAAATTTTTTTTTTTTCCTGTTCGATGAATGAATTTTACTGTCCTTTTTTTTTGAAATGGATACCTCTGCAAACAACATTTGTTCTTTAGCCAGAGAGTTAAACTGTCAGTATCAAGACAGAGAGATAGTAATTAATGCGATTTATTTATTTTGTGCTAAAAGGTTCACGGTACGAACGAAAAAAAAAAATACATTGTGATATTGCAAGTTCCATGATTAACAATCAATTTAAAAATATTGTACATTGTATGCAAAAAAGAAAAAAAAAGGTGTAGGGTTAAGGCATATACAGTGTTGCAGGCCTTGAAGACGAGAGGACGGTGGCAGAAATGGACCCCCTCCCTTCTTCTTTGCTTCTTCTTCTTTTAATTTTTAGCCAATGTTTTTATTGGTTTCTTTTATCAAATTATTCACTTTAGTTTGTAGTTAGTACGACGAAAATTAAAAATAAAGTAGAACGAACACTCAGGCCTGCACTATTATCTTATCTACCAAGCTCTAGCTTTCGTACACCAACATTCATGATTGAATCAAAATTCTTATTGTTACATTTCATTTCTTTCTTTTTAATACATTACATTTCATTTCAGAAGAACATTTTTGATATGTTATCCTTAATGTTTGTTCATTAATCATTAATGAAATCATGTATGAATATTACTGACGACCACAAAATATATATACGCAGGTCAATGAAGTGCTTTCGTTTTCTATTGGCGATTACATATTGGCTGCTAATTTTGTAAGAGAACTCATTTCAAGCGTTAATGTTTCAATATTAATGCATTTCAATCATGTACATGAGAAAACTATGAAAAATTTCCAACGTTATGTTTCTTAGACATTTTATTATAAAAAATTCTATCGTTTTTCCCCCGTAAAGTTCGATATAAGTTACAACTTTTATAAACAAATGATACAACTGCAAATATATACATAAATACAATTTTTTTTGGTAAAATACAATTTTAATTTTTGGTTAAATGAAACTAATGGCTATACAAATTGTGATAAAATACTTAAATGAAAATGTCAATATAAAATAAATGATTTAGTTTCATAACTTAGGTTGTGTCATTTCAAGAATTTTCCTAGTCTCTATCCATGAATAGTGAAAATAGAATGAAAAACACTGTTTGAAGAGAAAGAATGAGAAATCCTAACATATGGGAATTTAAAAGTTTTTTTTTTTTAAATCAGTAGAATTGGTGAAAATAAAAGAACAAGGGCATCATGAAGATACGGATAGAGAAGGGAAGCGAAGTGAAAGGAACCAATGAGACATCTCGTGATCCAAGATGCTGATCATGATGATGATGATGATATCAATGCTATATATATCGTTTCTGTCTTTTATAAGCCTTTCGCTTTTATTTTTTCTTTGGCATTAAGTCATTAACTACATAACGTACCCCAACTCAACAGCCTAACATTTTCTCTTTGTTTTTTCACATTATTGTGTAAGACAAATTTTCTATCTATATCAACAATTTTGAGCAAGACAGCTTGTTATATATATATTTTTTTCATAGGAATATTCACAGATCAAAAGAAGTAAAAGAGAAGAAGATTAAAAAAAAAAAAAAAAAGTAAAAATAAGAGAGAGCTTAGAAAAGGAGTTGTTGATGAGTCGACAAGTCCCGATCGTATGAGTTAATTTAGATAGATGCTCGAGAGATATATATGTGAGACGACTGAGGCATTTATGACGCGTGGATACTACGTATTAATCAATCTTACCCCACTTCTTTTTCTTTTTGGTCATACCAAATAATAACAAATCCTTGAACATTTTTGATACAACAATCTCACCAAATCACAAATCTATAGACGATATCACGAATATCACATTCTTTCCTTTTCTTTTCTTTTTTGCAATATCTAAATTGATGTGTTCTTTTCGATTAATATGATACATCATTGTTTATTTTTGTCACTTTTTTTTTTTTTTTTTTTTTTGTCATCTCAGTAATTAAATTACAAGTTTATCGGGAACAAACTCTCTTCAAGTTTTTCGATTAATATGATACATCATTGTTTATTGTTGTCACTTGTCACCGTCCATATATTATAATACATACATGTACACTGCTTGCTGCATACTAGATTACTAGTTGCTGGATAACTGTACTTTTCTTATACGTAAGTATCAGAAAAGCCTAAAGTAGAGAGGATCCACTAGAAAAGCCCAAAATCTAAGATATTTGGGTTTGGTTGATATTACTCGGGGCTTAGAGTGATAGAGTCTATTGTATGTTTTCGATTCATAGGCTTGTAGTTTATAGTTTGGTACTAATATTGGTGTCCTGATTTTGAGGCCCACGTAACATCTTCACTCTTCAGTGTGAGGAATGAAGATCAAAACGAGTCAATAGTTTTGCAACTGTAGTTACTACTAGTTAGTTTTATTTTCATCGTCTATAAGATCTAACTTCGAGCTCATAACATGTCTGCCTATAGTGAAAGTGAAAGTAACATGCATAGTGAAGAGAATATATGTACTTGCGATTTGGATAATGTTTGTACGTAGAGGCAAGCAACAAGCGCACACGACGACAGTTGAAGTTAAGGCTGGAGTATGAACGATATGGTGTAATGAATTAAAGTATTTCATCAAATACTAAGACGTAAGAACCATATATATACTAAGTTTTCTCCACCTCATGGTTAATTTTATCGGTGAAATTATACGTAAGTTTAAGTTAAGTAATAACAAAGAATTGTGAGTTACGTTGTGTTTTGCTGTGATCGACTTGGACTATTATACTTAAATTTATTATAGTTACGTTCAATGTTTTTTTTTTTTTTCTTATCGTGTGAGCATATTTAAACTATGAGCAAAAAAGTTGGCTTACAATGTGTATATTGTATATTTTACAAAACCAAAGTTGGGTCACTTTGTAATCCATGAAAGTTTCGTATTTGTTTTGGCCTTTCGTGTAAACCTTCGTCACTATTTCTTTTCTTTTCATATTCAATTTTTTAATGGTGATTATATATCTAAATTTATGAGCAAAAAGTTTATTTACAATGTTATATATTTTATAAAAGGAAAGTTTGGTCGCTTTGCAAACCATAAAACTTTCGTATTTTGTTTTGGGTTAATCGTAGAAAACTATTTATTTTATCATATATTCATATTCAATATTAAACTGCAACATGTTTATTTTAAAAACGATTAGTACCATAATCATAATGGCAGGTGTGATTCACTTTTTCTTTTCACAGTACAAAAAATAATAATAATATTCTCTTTTATGATTAGACAACGTAGTACTATAATGGCTGATTATGTCATATTTAATGATCATTAAGTCATTCAGATGACAAAAAAAAAAGATAATTAAGTAAGCAGTCGACATCAAATCCTAAAGGGGCCGAGTAATTAAGTGGTGGTTTAGAGTCAATGATAATAAAATTATAATTAATTATAGTGCTTAATATGGTAACCCGTTGATCATTTATAGTTAAAATCCCCTAAATATTTTTGGATAAAATGCCGAAAGTTATAACATGTCTAACAAAAAAAATACTAAACACCATTTACTTTCAAGAACTTCCATGAAAGTGAAGTTTTAATTTTTATAATGAAAGCCAATAGACTCGTATCAAATATTTTTATAAATATAATCCAATAGTAAACAAAATGTATGCATGCACACACCATATAACACACAAATCAACTGTGAACAACTTATTTTTTCTTCTTTTCAGTAATCTGGTATCGGCATATTCCACTAGTTAGAACGGCCGGTGGTTCAATAAGAATTGTGCTCGTGAGTGAGAGATGACAGAAACATCTTTACTCATTGGTTGATTTTTTTTTTTAAGATATAGATTATAACATCAGTTAGAGATATGATCAGAGTTATTATATAATGGCTTAACTGGTTCACCTACACCAAAGTTTAATTATAAGTGGTTTTAGTTGCAGGTTTGTGATAGTAACTATAAAATCCATTTGATGTTGTTTCATATCGATCACGTGAAAGCGTAGTGTTTTGTGATGATGATAGGCGTTGGAAAATAGTTACAATAATAACTTCTAATTTTTAAAGATTAAATAAATGGTTAATTAATACACATAATTTGTTTAGACATAAACTTGAACGTAAACTTATCAATTTATTTTCAATATAAATATTAACCTTAACATATATACAGTGCAAGAGTAATCATCTATTGTGTTTGCCGCTGGGAACTTGTTAATTGAAAATGACTGAAATATAATTAATTAGCTTAACGCGCGTAAGTATATTTTTTTTTTCCCTACTAGCTTAACGTATCTACTTCTCCACTTTGTTTTTGTCTACTGATATTTTAAACGTAACGAAAAGTTGACTCTGTCTTAAATATTTATCTTTCGAAGTTTGCGTTTTGTCTTTTTGTAAAATACTCAGATTAGTGTCATGAACTCATGGTTGGTCCAAAATGTTATAATTTAACGGGTATATATATAATCCTAACGAACTTTTTGACAGGTTCAAGAGAGTCTCAGATCATTTGAGGAAGAGTAATCCAAAAAAGCCCACGAAATCTTTCACATCTACTCGATCGTGATGGTAAATAATACATTATAGAGTAGGTTCCTAAAAACTTCAGTAGATTATTATTAAAACAAACATAAAAAAATTAATAGATTTATTATAGAGAAAATTGTTATAATGATTTTTAACAAATATTTTTTTTATGAAATCGGATATCTTAGTCAATTTTTAAATAGATAATTTGAACATATAAAATACCATATCTATGATTTACTTTAAGAAAAATGTCAAAACATGTTTGCGCAGTACTCTAGATCATGATTGCTCTAAAATGTCCAAAAAAATTAAAAAAGAATAGTTAAGACAACGAAAAATGTCTAAGTTGGTTTGCTCAACAAATTTTGATGTTTAAAATAAATTCTACTCTGAATATATAAATAGTTTTTACAAAAAATAGTTTTGAAAAGGTGACTCGTTTATACATTTTATTTTCCCTGGAAATAAAATTCACAAGACGCTCTTCTCCTTTACATCTTTACCATCGACAAAGTCTCTTGATTTTTTCAATTTCCATGCAGAGTTCGTAGAGACAAACTAGTTCCTCAGGTTCTGGCTCACAATCTATAGTTGGCTCAAAATGCTCATTTTTCATCTTACCGTATATCGAATAAGAGCTGAAAGGTCGTATAAAATGGAATTAGGGCAAAAGCCGTTTATCAAAGACCTGGAGACTATCAAAAAATGGAAAAGAGTATCATGTAAATACTCTATGTACTTGAATTAGAAAACTAGAAATAATTGGTTAGACATATTTTACAACTTCTCGGTTAAAACTGAAAGCATATTATACTGCATATTTATATTATGTAGATTAAGAAACTAAAAATGGTTTACTTTTATAATAAAATGGTATAGGGACATTTCGTTGCAAAAGGGCGTACGACCTTTCAAGAGTTCGTAGAGAAAAGGGAAATGACATCTTAGGGATCGACTTGCAGGCAATATATGACAACGCCAAACTAGATCTCTGACTAGATTCCAACTTAGTGCATATCATGGCAACTCATACTTAAAAAAACAAACCTTACTTTTTTCACAAATGTTGATAATCACTTTCTCTAACATAGTTTACTTTTTTTTTTTTTTTTGTTCAAACGATTCTCTAACATAGTTTACTTAAGTTATTTAAAATACACAAGAAGATTAGTTAGACAGCTCATTATTCATCAAGCAATCGCTCAACTATATAAACCTGTTGTTAGAAGCATATAAGATATCACATGCATATAAACTAGCTTTGAGAGGATTTAGTAAAGAAAGATTAATCACAGTTAACTGAATATGGCAAGTCTCAAGTTATGGTTTTGTCTTACCTTGCTTCTTCTCGAGTTCTCCATGCATCAATGCCGGCCAATGGTTGTGGAAGAGAGGCCTTCAGATTCAGGTAACATAAGAAAGATTATGAGGGAGCTTCTCAAACGATCAGAAGAGCTGAAGGTGAGAGCAAAAGGCGACAAAACGTTCCTTGATTCTAAGCGGCTCAGCCCTGGTGGACCGGACCCTAGACACCACTAAAAGGACGTACCGAGTTCGTGTAGTTTTATAAATTTTCCGGTGAGGTTTTCAAACTTGTAATGTCGGCAGAGGCTTTGCATAAATGGTGTAACTCTAAGGTTACCATCTTATTAACATTGAGTCATAGAAAAATGTTAAAAAAAAAAAAAAAACACATTGAGTCATAATCATGCGTACTAGATAAGATGCTTGTTTTTATTTAAGCGCGTTTCTTCTGTACGTGTTATTACCAATAATGTGAGAAATTGGCATCTACAGAACGCATATCAAACCATTGCAATTTCGTTTTTTTTTTTTTTTCGCATTGTGACTGAGCTTGACGTGAGTTCAAATTCTAAATCGATTTTTTTTCCAAAAGATGATTATAATTGCTACACTTCTAATCCATTTCTATGCGTGATGTTCTAATTAAATAATACCGAAGATACTTTTAAAGCGAGGCTTTGATCATCAAAGAAAGTAAACCAAATTAAATATTTTTTAGTAAGAAGTACGTACTCATATAATATATAATGGAATACAAAAATCAACCTATTCCAATTATCCCACTACTATATCTGCCACGACAAAATTCGCAATCAGTCGAAAGTGGATATTAACACATATGATTATCTCATAAAGTACACATGCACGCATGCATTAGACAACGATATGTCTCTATATTTTTGAATATTTATCAGTTTCTATCTAAGAAATTTTGCGTACCACCTTAGCGCAACGTAGAACTCATTCGTGACTAGACTAAAGGGTCGAGGACTCGAGGGAATTTCGGAACTTATCTTTTCTTTTCCTCGTTGTTCAAACGGGATTTAACTCAAAGTAAAATTAAGTCAATAAAGGAAATCCTATATAATTTAACATATAAAATATTTAGTGTATGTCTTGTGGATATGTAATATTCCAACGAGAGTCGGATAAGATTTAAACAGGATGATTAAGACATGTAGCCTAATATGTTATTTAAATAAGCTTGTGTTATCTTTCACCCGAATTTTTTTTTTTTTTTTTTTCATCCAATAATCAAACAAACTGACTCAAATGAGCCAATTCGGACAGTTGTTTTTCTTCCGAGTTTATATATGTATATTATTGAAGAGAGAGGAAAAAACATATAAAATGAGGGTTTATATAATTTGTAAATCAAATAATAAAAGTATAACCTAACTGTTGAAAATTCATAATTAAGTAAACTAGTTCAGAATCCTTAATTAGAAACTTATTTAGGCACATACATGATCAATGGTCTAACCAATAATTAATAGCTTTTAATTATATTTTAGAACTTCAAAATTAAAAATTGATCTCTTATGATTTCTACCATAGATGTGAAGGATCACAAGGTCAATCCAAATCAATCCATTTCTTATTTATTCGTTGAATTTTTTATTATGATATGAATGCTATCACAAATACCCTAATCTAATACAAATGGTACGTATGGTCGGTTTGGGTTTAGAATTTAACCATTTTCCCCCGGTTAATTTGAAAATTCTATTCTTCATTTTTTATATTTAAAAGCGAATCCTTTCAAAATAATTTTAGGATATGGTTTGATTTACTGATCGATTATTTTATAAATTAGTACGTTTTTATACTTTGTTGTATTAGGTCATCTCCTTTTAACTTGACCGAACCGATGGATTAACACAATAGGTCAAGGAAAAGCACACAACCTTTGCTGCTTGGTAATGCTAACCAACTCGAATGCCATTAATTTGTATTCTCGTGTTTGACTAATTTAATATATCTTATATATGGCATAATGTATTCTATTTGCTGAATCATTTTTTGAGGTTTAACGCCGGCTTTATAACTGAACATATATAGAGTAATATATAATCTGATTAATGATGTCCTTTCGGTTAAAAAGGTTATAGTGGTATTGTGAGACTTATTACCTAACAAAGGAATATATAACTTTTTTTGTTTGGTCTTACTGCATTTTGAACTTAAGTACAGAAACTATCTATAAATAATATGAATAAATGGTCGAACAACTACTGAAAAATTATATATGCATGCTTTATTAGGTTAATAACAAAGAAAAGGCTTAAAATTCAACAATAGAGCTGGTTCGTCCAAAGTTGCTTCAATGTTGTCTAGCTTATTAACCTTTCCCCTTCAGACCCGCCAACCCCATCCCACTCCCACCTCTCCTACTTTCCCACTTTCCCCTCCTCTTCATCTATTCCCTCTCTCTGATAAAACACTCTCATATGAAACATGGTTTTCTTACGGCCACTTAAACGTATGCTGTCACTAAAACCTGGGGGAAAAGACTACATAAATTTGATGAAGAATCCCTTGAACGAAGTGGCCATAATTACCATCACTGACTCTATATATCCCAATTGTTATTTTTCTTCGAGGAGAGGAAGTTCATATATAACGAATTGACTAGAGGCTATTTATTTGGTAAGCCTCATGCTTTTGGTCACATTTAGAGTGTTCTAAACCATATATGGACAAGAAGTATGAGCATTTCGATATTCAAGTTTCTCTTAGATAAAAACACTTCATGATTGTTAAGAGGACTTAATGACTTCATCATCCGGAAAAAATATGTATTTAGAAGGGCCTCTCTCGTATATATATGTTGGCAAGTATATATTACGTATACTTCAATAGAGTCATGGATCCATATATTCTTCGATGAGCTCATCTTCGAAGTATACTTGATGACACTAGACGGATTAGGTTATGTGTCTGGCTTAGTAGTTAGACAGGCGCGACTATAATTTGAAGACTATAAAAAAAAAGCTTACCAGTGATCATCCCATGTTAAAATTTAGGCTGACTACTTGATTAAACTTCTTCAAAATTTGTTAATATTGAGAGGGGAGGTGGCGAAGGTGTCCCTCTTGAAGTTGATTACCCGTGAATTCCTTCAACAAGCTCACACTGCAAAAATTAGTTGGCCATATTGCCATGGGATAACTACTACTTTCTAAAATATCCGTACACGAATCCTCCTCCACTGCAAAAAACATTTAGTACATACGTACGTACGTATAGTTAGAAACACCATTTGTATCACTTTTCTTTTACTAAACAGCCTATCAACTTTAATACAT